TTCATAACGATTGAAGCTAAATGAAATATGAATATCTTTTAGATTATTTCGTGGTAATTGAGACAGTCGGTTTCTAAAACATATGTAGCTTACTGAGATAAAACGAAGTCCCTTTAAAATTAATAAATTTGTGGAGAATAGAATGATTTTAAGTGGACTGCACCACAACTAATGAAGTCTGGTTGTTTTTCGACGATCATGCACTTGATACCTTACAAAGCTGTGATTCCTAACCGCTCAAGAGTTCTGCTATATCAAAAAACAGATGTTTGGTGCTTACTAAGGTTTTAAGCTAATACGGGTTGTAAACTTTATCCTGGAAATTACTTTCAGTTCCTTACTGACTAACTTAAGAGAGATATCTATAGTTATTTTTCTGTGTACGGTTGTATTCCTTTGAGGTCCTCCAATGAGGAAACAACATCTTATAACTAACTGACTTGCTGAAAGGCTGATGAAGAAGACCGTTAAATTGAAGTAAAAGAGATGATGCTTTTTATCACAACAGCAGGAATTTTCCATTGTAAGGAAGGTGAAAATCCGTGAAAGCTGCTCATAACGTACAATAAAAAGAACGTTGGCATATTTGACCGGACAAGCCATTATATAAAATTGACCAGAGTAACTTAGAAAAATACTATTTTTTGTTTGAGATGATAGGAATATCCCCAGTTGTTCTGTTTCCTCGAATTTCTCGGTGTGTTATTAGAAGTTTTCCTAAGTTTATGATCAAATTTCTAAACTGTAAGTAAGTCAAACGTAACGGCTATTGCATATCAAATTGAACAAGGTAACTTATAGTTTCGTTATTTGTATTTTTTGAAAAGTTTATTCATCATGGAAAATCCTACTGATAATAAATTGCCTTACCTATTTATATTGAGTACTTATGCGGTATTGTGATATTCCGTTTAATGACTATGTTGAACCGGAGTGTCTGGTCTCTGTAGACATGTCAGCTCCTATTACGAGGGATTTCTGATACACTCAGCTGATATACCCTAAATAGAAAGAAAGGTGCTTCTTGGGTTCCACTGCTAGTCACTAACAGCTAAATAGTATCATGTTATTCTTCAATTATCGTAGAAGCGTCCATACTAGGAATCAACGTGTCAGCAGAGACTGGACATCCCGGTCCAACCATCTTGAACAAATAATAATTGATAACCGCTGCACAAGGGGTTTCGCACGTGTTTCAGGCGGCCTAGTAGATAACGCATCGAGGTTTGAGACAGTGAGTCCGAGTGGGCATTCCACCAAGCACTGAGAAGTACAGATAGACTCGACTGACGAGTGCTAAAAGAAGGAAATGAGCATCCTAGATCCCATTGCTTATCACCATCAATCAAATAACAAAATGTCTTTTTATTTGACTTCAGGCGAATCTTATAAATAGTTACGGCTTTCAAATTATTTTCGCAATTGTATAAAGGTGATCTAAAGCGACATCTGTGTGTTACCTGATTTAGAACAATAAACTATCGGTTGGTGTTTAGAACTGCCTTGGAAGTGTAAATTTTGCTGGATTCTAAGAAGTAGTTCAAAAGGCATAAATGTTCTTGTTAAACTTGCGTTTTAGTCCTACGGAGATTTAGATTGGCTTTTTCAATCACATATAATCCTTTTAACTCCTATCAATCTTTCTAACATATGAAAAACATTATGTCAGCGACATTAAGATTTCTTTTTTTTTATTGATTTAACCAACTCCCTGTCCATACACGACAATGGAAAGCAAAACACATACTCTTCTTTGGTGGTCCACACAGTTATTTTTCCGTTACATATGCTGTGACTGTAACCAACTCCTTTGTTGTAATGATTGTGAAAGAGATGAAGTGAATATTATCATTACATTTCAGTGCACCTTCATGCCTACTTGTCAATCTATTTGTCTTAGCCTAATAATTAATCATACATAAATGGTCAATGGAATGTATATAAAATTCAATGAAGGAGAAAACAGGAAATAGGACTATATATTGGAAATAAAAGCGTATGTAACTTGTTTTAAATATAAGATATAAATGTTTAACAACTGAAACTTCACCATAGTGACCATAATGAGTGTAGGTATAGTTCATAACTTACTGAAGTATCTATGCTCTCATATTTGTTTGTGTACAACAATAATAAAGAAATGAAGTGATAAATTTTTTAAGCTCAGATATCTGAAAAAGTAAACTCATCTTCTTGTATGTACTGTTTATTGGACAGAAGTTACTGTTTAGCAATATTTGTAGAATGACTCTCCTGAAAACTATGACCTTTGATCATTGTTGAGGTTCTTCGTTGACATCATGAGCTGGATGTGTCTAAGGACAAAGCGGCTTAAGCACTTTCCTTAAGGAAGTAGTTCTGTGTATATTTCATAAACAGAGAATGTTAACCTGGTCAATCAATACTTGTCATAAAAATAACAGATGACAGCAGGGATTTTCCAATGGTGTAGGATAACAACAAGATATGTTTGTGAAAATCAAAAGTCACTTATCTTGAGACATTTATTTTGTTTTGTGTGGGTATGTTTCAAATCAGTAATAAAGATACAGGATGTTTTTACTCAAAATCGGACTTTAAAGCTAGTGTCTTTTATTCAGAAGGCAGTCAACTCTTCAGTATTCAAACGTTTAACACACCAGCCATACTATTTATTAGACAAAAAAGCTTTATTCTGCAAAAACTTTACAGGCAGAAGTAAGATTATATAGCCCTTAACCTTTGGGTTGCCTTTGAATATATTTTAAACTTATGAAAAACATTAAGACAACGTGAAATGGTCATGGGGGTTTTATTTGGTAAATCATGCAAGACACTGCATGTTACTAATAAGTCAAAGTTGATTAAAAAATTTAAAAAGAACTGACTGCATAGGAACAGAGAAAGCTGATTACTTAGTTGTGTAACTAGGATCACTGTCATGTGTGTGTACATACAGTCAAATGTTTCGTGTAAGATAGACAATGAAAATTCACTCTTTAACCGATTCAGTTTCGCAATAACAAACAGATGAAATTAATTAAAATCAATTTGACAACTTTATTTGGGTCTGGAAAATTAGAATGTAATTTAAAGTTAATTTTACGAGAAATATGTATAGGTAGAGATTAGAAACGTAAAAAATTGACTAAATGATCTTTAAAAAAAACAATTACAAAAGATGACAGCAGCTCTTTTATGCCTGTCTGAAATTAGATGGTTTTCAAAAACTAGAGGATTCTGTGGATTAGAGAATACTATTTCGCTGAAGGAAAGATCAATTGCTGCTTAGCTGTCTGACATGAAAAGAACTTTACGAGCCAACTGTCATATTACTTATGAGTTTACACTTCAAGAAATATACACAAATAATAGATGATAAATGGGACAGGGCGCATATTTTGCTTTCTGTTTTACCTGTTGGGGGATACGTTAGGTGGCTACGAAACATCTATACGATGACATTAACTAAAAATCTCACGTTTCGAAAATCGAATATCAGCTTATAAGCTGCTGGAATGCAAAATCTGACTTCAGATTTTAAAATGTTTTGCCGATCGATATGTCCCTGTTTCGATAACTTTAGGTATTTTGAATTATTTTGAAATCATGACAGCTTTACTTATTCAACTTAATCAGATTTTCTAATCATTTCACAAACACTTCAGAAGTAGGTTTGTTCTAATCTTTTAGACAGTGTATACTTGTTAATTCTTTTAATTATTTTCAAGTAATCCTTAATGACAGATGATATTATGTTTTCCCTTTAGAATAGTCATCTATTCATTCAACGAATAATCTGTATTGAGAATTGTTTAACAACTCCAACTAGTCTCGACCACTTAAAATTTTATTATCTTCTGTTTCTGTTAGATCTTTGTTTACTCTCTGAAGAGAATCTGTAACATTAAGTATGTGCAGTAAGAATTTAAGAAGCAAAATAATTTCAAACCCGTTTAAAGTGTTAGGTAGTAAAGCTGATAAAAAAGAACCTATGATTTAGGAATGTTTAGAGGCGAACCAGTACTTTGAGACTTTTCAATTGTGAAAAAGTGATTCGTTATGTTTCTGAGCCTTTTCCGCGTCTTCAAATGCAGTATTCAAACGAGGTCTGATGTAATTCTTCATACATTTATTTGGCAAATAAATCACAGCGTAATTTTTAATTGAATAATGATAGGTGTGACAATCAAGTCTAATTAATAGCTATTTTGATCTAGAACCCATTTAATCTGATTCTTGATGATTTATCTTGTCTTTCACCTAGTTTACCAGACGCAATAAACTATGGATTGTTTTTTGAACTGTTTCTTCTTAGCAGGTCATAAAATGAAAGAAATACTTGAAGTATGACCGATGATGTTTAGTTTAAGCCACTGGTTTTGACAGAATCTTGATTGACTTGTACCTTAATCTCAGCCTATGCAAAAAGATGTCTAAGATATTAAATGTCAGCAGGAATGCTTCAATTGACATGGAGTCAATGAAAGTGTCAGCATTGTTCAACTAATGTTCCTCAAAATACACATGATGATGGAAAATAACTGTATGCTGGGTTTCACCTTAATATTAACACTGGGAAACGAAACCATGGAAGATCGGCTTTCCAGACATATAAAGTGGTGATAAGTCACAGACACAATTTAAAAGCAAGTTTTTGACTTCCCTTGTACGCTCTAGAATACGCATAAAATATGAGTAGTGATATCAGTTGAAATGTGTAACTGAATTCCTTATTAAAAGTAAACCATTTCCTTTTATTTTTTTTCTTCTGTTTAGATAACCATTCATCAGAAGCATTCAGAGACCTCGTGCAGGAACGGATCACTGAACTTTCAGTGTTGGACGAAGGTTTGAAGCATTGTCAAGTTCAGAGACACAGAATTTGACCAATGCAAAATAGAGTCTAAAAATTAAGTTTATTAAAGACAAGATAAACTGAATCTGACAAGAATTAAATACCATTCATATTGTTCTTGCTGTTATCAACAAGTTGTCCGACATACATTTTAGTGTTACTAATGAAAAACAAATACTACTATTCACTATTGTTAGTCATATTGTTGTCAGTCCACTTATCTAAACAGTCGACAATTAATACTGGTGAGTTTTATGCTTAGGAGATGCTATTGAATAGTTGTACTTATTCTATTTTTTTCAAATCCTATCAGTTACTAGTGTGAGTTGAATTCGTAAAATTATGAATCAGTGCCCTCAGCTTGAAAGTTTACAATAATGAACAAAACAGTTTCATTTTATCTGTTATATAAGTGACTAATGAACAGGATCTTAAGACTGTATTTCAGGTCTATAAACTTCAAGAAGAAACGAAGCTTTTTAACCTGATAATGGTTTTCATGGAATATAGAAGACAGCTTTTTCAGCAGTTGTGATAGTGGAATCTCGTTTGACTTATTAAGAAAGTATTTCAAGAAAAAATGCTATAGAAACTGTAAAACATAAATAAAATCCCACTGTTTAGTCACTGAATTGTAAATATTACGTGTGATTATGAAGTAATCGTCATTATTGTTATTTCTGAAATTCTAAAACAACCTAAGCTGAATGGAAACCAAACAAACAAGATTGAGGCTTTTTCTGTCTACTTGTAAATTTGTGTTAAAGAAAAGAAAACCCCAGACTGAATTTCGTATGTGCTTACCCCTAAGTGTTCCCTGTGCCAACTATAGACAATATAAACCGTATGCATTATTTTTGTTTTACGGAAAGAATTTCCGGCATACTGAGAAGAGAAAATAAATTGCGTTACATGTTTGCGTCAATAAATGAAAAATTCTTCCTTAAGTTCGTTTTCACTTGTTGATACTTGTTATCATGGCATTTCACAACTTTTAGATGGTTAATATTTTTCACGAGTTTGAAATCAATTAGTGGTGAACTTCCTCACCACACAATTAAGTTACTGTAAGCCTCATTAAATCCTTCAATGGGTGTTTAAGATGCCACTGTAACCATGACATTCTATCCTCTTTGTTTATTTTGCAGCTAACGGTTAGCCTCTTCAAAAAAATAACTTTTATTCATAGAGTAGTACTTTTAAAGTGTCTTAAATATATTTCTGGGAATTAATTTGACTGTTTATGCCCACATGTGTTCACTTCGAAACATTTCATTATTGTATGCTTGTTTAAACATTCAAAAAACGAAACAATAGACATTTAGTAGAAAAAAACCCAATGGTTTATGAGATACGTCATACGTTAACAAGTTGTCTGGTGAGAAGTGTGTGACAAACAATGATTATTTTCACATAAATTAACCAAACGAAAATATATCAGATACCAGGTTGGTAATGCAAGCGTTTTCATTATGTACAAGTAATTAACTGGTATAAACCCAATATTGTGATGAATTAATCTTCCTTTAAAGAAAAAATTGTCATCTTTAATTCAAGTAAAGCCATCAGACATTCATTGATTCAAAATTATCAGCTTAGGTATAATACTAGTCACCAAGTAAAAAGGCTGCCATAGTGAGTTTACACAGGCTTTTGGTTGTAGATATGCTGATTATTTGGCTAGGATATGTAACAAGGATTCTGAATTCAAATAAGTACACATAAGCCAGTAATCGATAATTCTACTGAGAACAGTTCAATGCAAAGTGCCGACATAATTGTCACAACGCTTCAGTGAAATTAAGACGCAAATATGAAAGGCCTTATGAACGTCAGTTCTATGTGATCAAAAGAATCAGAAGGTTAACTCAGGTGTCCCTTACCTTTCTGTTTGCGTACTGCTGTTATTGTGACAACTTAAAACTGGTGTAGATCTGTTCAGCAATCCGCCTTATGCTACCTGTCGCCCATAAATCTGCTCATTCAGTTCCCGTGTAATTTACCACAAGTTCCAGTTTTCCTCATAACAATTCGTGCTGATTGTGAAAGGTTAATTGGGTATAACAGTCTTTACCGAAATAATATTTCTCAATAATAATATTCATTGGTTTGAATATTCAAAACAAACGTGTTGAGAAGCCGATGTATTGCCATTAGCTTTTTATTCACAGTGATGATAATAATATTTTTCAGTAATACACATATTATGCGTTTAACCCTCAGTGAATGTGAAAAGTTACTCAGTACCTCTTTAAAGGCTATAATGATTAATTACGTTTGCGTCTCGTTCCTATTCCTAAACGTTCAAAAGAAACCTATATTTTCGCTGCTAGTACGACAGTATCCTTTTCTCGTATCAGACTACTTACCGACCCCAGCCCCTATGCATTCTTCACACTTAACAGCTACTGCCTACAAAATAGTTTTTCTACCAATCAATATCTCAGATGTTGAATCTTTTTATCTAGATTGTTTTAGTTTTTGGTAAAATCTCAAATGTTCATTTGGATAATAAGTAACATTAATTATGTCAGCTGATGAGTGTATTCATCTATTTTTCGCTAGTTCCTGTTTACACTGAGAAAAAACTAATTCTATACTAATGAAAAAACAAATCAGCTTGTAATTAAATTAAAAAATATAGCACTGTTGTATATGGGTTTTTAACGTGTGCTTTCTCTTAGTTTTTTAGCTTTTTGAGTTGCAAACAAACGTGAGTTACGTCAATTCTGTCTCCCACTTTCTATTTCTATCTCCCCCTACACATTCTTTGCATTTAGTTAGGCGCTTGTGGAGTAAAAAGCTAAGTGTATTGGAGCTTAATTAAAATGAACCTTTCTTCAGGCAGTGCTGTACATTCTGAGAAGATATGAAACTTTTATAGCCACATAAGACTGTATGGTATCTGTATAAAGGGGATGTTAACGACTAGCACCTCTTGTATTTCAAACGATAGTTGAATGTGTTATTTTAATAATTAGATATTTAAAATCTTTCCATTACAAGCTAACACATTTTCAGTCTCATGGACGAAAACAGTAACATTTTTAATGGCTCAGCAATTTATTCATATGATAGTGCTTTAGAGCTCTTTCGGAACCCAGCGTTAGCTGCAGTCGTCAACACAAATTTGAGGAAAACTTTTGTTGTTCAAAACACTTTAGAGCCCTGGTACGCTTGCTCTTGTTTTATTAGTGCGTTGGTGGCACAGCGATTAGGACGCTTGCAGATGATGCACACTGTCCTGGGGTTGATCCCTAGCCGACGCACACCTGATATCAGTGGTCGGCCTGGTAAATTTCGGCTGCCTTAGTTGTAACAAAATACTGTGTGGAACAAAGCTGTAATAAAATAACATAACATAAATATTATAAAGTAATATCAAGCAGAAATTCTTGTGAGATACAACCATCTGTCAGAATGATTAGTTCCTGTGTGACGTGCTAACATTTGTAGTCTGAAGGCTTTACATTCATAAAACACAACAATAAGATGTATTTATTCCCAAGAATAGATAATGATGAAGTATGAAACACGAAAAAAACTATGCTTAAGTAAATTCAGCTAAAATTTGGTTGATTGTGTAGATAATTTCCAACTTGCTGGTAAGAGTCTGAGTTTGTAAATGTAGTCATCTATACTGAACTCGCGACAAGATGAGTTCATTAAACGCTCTAAATAAGTGGTACTGTTAAATGCTAACAAAGTTAAGGAGTAAAGCAGATCAAGCAAAGTATTTTATCCGAATAATTCTTGAGCCTGTCTGAATATATGTAATTAGATGAATGCTTAAAATCTAGTTTAACAGGAGGAAATCAGAGGACTCGAAATAGAGGAAACTGGTTAAATGTGACTGTTCGTCCTTCGAAATTTCAAAAATTTAAAGTTGTAAATTACATGGTACTCAACGGCACAAAGATAGAAGCTTGATTAGGTTAAAATTGCCGTAACCTGACGCCCTTTGTACCATTTGGCTTCACTTTGTAGATGATCTTGAGAGACGACTCTGGTGGAGCTACGTGGCCTGAGTTCGCCAAATGCTCGAGAATTGAGCTAGTAATTGTCCTGCATTGTCCCTTTGCTAACCATGCCGGATAATGTTCAGAGATGCGTTTGGAAAGCGTGAGCTTTGTGCGGTCAATATAACTAGCTCCACACGAGCAGGTGAATTTATAAACACACATTGAGGTGGCCCAAAGCAGCAGTTTATCCTTCACACATTCGTCGATCATTTGTCGGCTGTAGAAATTGGTACGTAGCTCAGCCATAAAGAAGGCTTTCCTCAGTGATCTGCATAAGCGATTCTTCAGGATCTCAGCTGCGGTATCATCTTTAAATTCAACACTCATAAAGAGCAGTTTCTTCGGCACCGTTGGGTCCTTTATTTGCTGAAAGGATCCAGACGGTGCCGAAGAAACTGCTCTTTATGAGTGTTGAATTTAAAGATGATACCGCAGCTGAGATCCTGAAGAATTGCTTATGCAGATCACTGAGGAAAGCCTTCTTTATGGCTGAGCTACGTACCAATTTCTACAGCCGACAAATGATCGACGAATGTGTGAAGGATAAACTGCTGCTTTGGGCCACCTCAATGTGTGTTTATAAATTCACCTGCTCGTGTGGAGCTAGTTATATTGACCGCACAAAGCTCACGCTTTCCAAATGCATCTCTGAACATTATCCGGCATGGTTAGCAAAGGGACAATGCAGGACAATTACTAGCTCAATTCTCGAGCATTTGGTGAACTCAGGCCACGTAGCTCCACCAGAGTCGTCTTTCAAGATCATCTACAAAGTGAAGCCAAATGGTACAAAGGGCGTCAGGTTTCGGCTTTTGTGTATTGCGGAGGCGCTGGCAATTCATCAATACAACCCTGAACTCTGTATACAGGAAAAGTTTGTCCAGTCTCTTATTCTACCTTGGTCTTAACCTCTTCACTAATTGTTCCCTATAAACATTTTTGATTTTTTCTTTTATTTTTAATTTCTAATTTTACTTTTAGTTTGCTTTTGCTTTAATAATTAGTTCACTATTATCAATCTCATATGCTCCTTTTGTATATTTTCACACCCCGTTCACACTGGTTAAATTGACACTCAAATACCTTTATTCTCGTTCAAGAGTAATTTTAACCTTATCAAGCTTCTATCTTTGTGCCGTTGAGTACCATGTAATTTACAACTTTTAGTTTTCACTTCTAAAGTCACTTATGAGTAATTATTTCAAAAATTCTTTTGCTTGTAA